AGTTAAACACCTGGTTCTACTAGGGTTTTTTTCCCACCAGACACTTGAAGTGTATTACGATTGATGCCTCGTTGAACCAGCGGCTGCCAGGCAAGATACGCTCACATTTTGCAAGAGATGGATAGAGAACAAGGTAAAAAAAAGGCACGATTTTTCGTACAATCAGGTTCCATAATCCAAGAAGTTATGGTCTGAAATGCGCGAATATAGAACGGGGCTGAAATCTTTGGGATATAAAGATATATTTTAAGTTTCATCATAATCGGACAAAAAATGTGACCTCTATCGGGTTCACAACCTTCTTATTACATATACGTGTACACAATTTGCGTGTAAGGAGCGGCAGTTACGGTTCGATTTTCACGAAATTCGAACTCAACCATCATTGGGGTGTAACGTTCAAACGTTTTTTTAATCGGATAAAAACTGTGACCTCTAGAGGGATCACAAGCTAAAAACGTGATTTTTCGTACAATCAAGAGCCATAATTGCGGAAGTTACGATCCGATATGCGCAAATATCGCAAGGAACCAAGATCGTTGGGTTATAAACATGCATGTCAAGTTTCATCAAAATAGGATCAAAATTGTGACCTCTAGAGTGTCCTCCAGCTAAAAACGTGATTTTCGTACAATCAGGGGCCATAATCCATTAAATTTCGATCCGATACGTGCCAATATCGTAAGAAACCGAGATCTTTTGGACGGATAGACGGACGGACGGACAGGGGCGACGACAATATACGTCAAAATAAAAATGTGGGCGTATAAAAATCAATTTAAGATAAATGATCTCCATGGACACCAATCTCGGGGAAAAGACCACTAAAAGTCAAAGCCATTGTGTGTGTAGTAATGATAGAAAAGGGTAGAACTGGGCCGATCTTAATGGCTGATTATAAGGCATAGACGTAGTTTGGTGCTCACCACAGTCAAAACTCTCTCCCCTCTATCAATATATAATGAATCTAGAAACTTTGACATTGGTTTTGATCTTTGAGTGAAATGCAATGAAACTAGGGGATCAAGAGACACAATATGTGAAATACTGATCGCCTAATGAAAATGCTGGACTTTTGAGTATATCGCGATATCTCCCTCGTCGGGGATTAAAAATCATTAAATCGGGGGCAAACGCACAGTAAGCTGGGGTTTTCTAAAGTCTGGGCAAAACGATCTTGTATTCTCTGTGCGAGATTTTCAACTTCTCGACTGTTTTTTTCTCCTTCTCGCCGTGGCGAAATAGAATGGTCACAACAAGCTTCCATACATACCAACGAGGTTACGTAAGGTATACTATATATCTGAAACGCAGTTATGTTTTTGCTTCACACAATGGGAATGAAATGAATGAATGCAATGGAGTTCAACGCCTTCTTCTCTGCTCCAATAGAACCAATATAGACGGGCATACGCAATACAGTGTGCTATGTGGGTAATTTGGCCCGGTATTTCATCCCACCGAACGACTACGGCAGTTCCTTGGCAGACTTTCCGTCCTGTGCGTCAGGGGCGTGCTGGCAGGGAGTTTAGGAGGACGGTGTCCTCCCAGGCCCCCATTAAACAATAAGTCCACCTGTATAAGCGGCCCCCCCTGAGAGCTCTAATTTTCACGCGGAATCCCCTCAAAAAATTGAGAGTGCGCACGCGAAAAATCATACATACACAACGATTAGTAAAATATATTATGCTGCATGACGTGCAAATGTCTGTCACCTTAACGTGAAACGGTCTTTGATTAAAACAATCGGTGGTGCTGATAGCATAATTGCATTTCCTGCATTTTTGTGTTAGTATCATGTCTCATAGAGACTAAAGATTCATACATGTATTCATGCCTCGATATGTATAAGATGCAATTTATTATTTGGATAGAAATACATTGTATTAGCATTATATTAAGCAGACCTGTCATGAGTGTCTTGTGTAGTACAGTAGTATGTCTTATAGTCAAAATAGCAGAATAAATTTGGAAAATATGATACCTAGATTTCTCACAGAAGTGCTTGCAAAACGCGTTTCCCGTTGTCATTAATACTGTACTGTATTAATGTATGTCATGTAATTGCATGCTGCTATACCCCCCCCCCCCCCCGTGGGCGTTGCAATAAAAAATTTCTTATCTCATCTTATATAGACCTGTTTTTATGTAGTATTTTACTTTTCCCACGTGCAAGTTCTCACAACACCTTCCCCAAGCCGGTTGATTTGTTTATTAATACTTTCAATGGCTTGCCTAGGGCTCAAAATCGGCTGGCACCGGCCCTAACCCCACCATCTGTCATTCTGTTCAAAGGTTTTGTACATACGACATATCCTGAATTTTCACAAACTTCGGTACTATATTTGAGGGGAACAGTTATCTGATGCAACATTAACAAGTACATAAAGTTGAGGAACAAGACAATGACCGTGTTTAATTTACCGAACGTGGAGACGAACGAGTACCTGGGTGAATGACTCATTGATTATATAAAATTATTTACGTAGTGCACTATGCTACACATATTGACTAGCTGCTTTCAGCCGCCGTACCACAAATATATGGAGTGGCATTCACGACATAATTGTAACTGTTACCCGTTCGTGGTTTTCATTTTTTGAAAAATATCAAATTTCTTACGCCTTAATCAACGCTAATATCTACCATCATTGATTATTTAACAGTTAATTAATCAATAAAACAAAATCAAAATGTCAACGCTAGATAATCACCAGGTTTGGATTCAGTAGAATTAAAACAGGCCCATCAAATAAGATGTCGGCAAACATAAAGATGGTGGTAGATATGTTATCATATCATAATCAATAACCAAAAGATTTGTGGATAGCGATTAGCATATCGTAAAATGGGGTTTAACGTCCCACTGTTCTGCACATATTATCGTAGACTGCAAAATGGCGGAACGTTCAACCTCAAAGAAATGTTGACCTGTGATGTAGACAGAAGTGAGAAGAGGGTGTATCATTTACATGAAGTGCAGCAGCGATCGATGGAATTTCTGTCAAGGGATTCCTATAACGCTCAAATCACGCTCAGGGCGGCTGTTTAAAATTTCATTTTACAATATCCACTCCAAGAATTGGACACGGAAATACGACTCACTGAAGCGATGTAGCGACGGGCGAGATTTCGCGGCTTCGTTGCTTCGCTAATGCACTGAGTTAATGCGAAGAGATACTGGTCGGCTTCCATAGCTAGGACTTTTGTTTACGAAACAATGGAATGAATGAATGAAATGAGGTTTAAGGTCTTACTTTTCGATGGTCTCCAAACGTTTCACACAAAAAAGGACATGACTGGTTTAATAACAGTAAACGAAAGATGGAATTTTGAGTAGTTTATTGCGATGATTTTGAGCTTATATTGCGACGTCATTGGAATTTTTAAAGTGGCAGGGACGTAAGGCGATTGTATTTCAAGATGGTATTAAGACGTGGTGTTGTGCGAATTCTGTTTTAGAATTCCCTTTGTTTCCGCCTTGTTCAATCATATAGGGAGTTGGGCGGTCGATTGACCTAATCAATCTATTTTTACCATTGGACGCAGGATGGTAGTCTTTCCGAAACTACTTTTAAAACATCATGCTTCGGCCTAATAATATCACAGACATAGGATTGTCTTTCGTACAATAGCTTATCTGTTATGTTATGTTTGGTTATTTTGATTTAAATGTTCTCTACAAATGTCCTGTAATTGCGTTCACCCAGGAGTTTAAACACGTAGTTTGGAGTCATATAGTTCTACACCCTCATAAACAAACATCGGGTTTTAGAATAAAGATCTGTGCCATTGTATTTAGATGAGGCCGTCGGACATTCCAAAAGTGTCCGAACGCTAGACACATAAATTTCGGAACATCTTTGGTGGCTGTCTTATAAAATCAAATACAGAGGTGTGAGGGCTAAGGACCTACACCATCTGTAATTATTTTTGGACGAGGCGTAATTGGCGTTGTGCGATTTTTTTTGGGAATAACTTTAATGGATTCCATTATTGATTTATTAGGTCAAAATATTTGTGAAATTCTCAAATGAGAAGTGGTTCAAGTAAGTAATTAAGCACTGTCTCGTACACGACACTGGTCATTATCTACAGGTTCCGTTCTTAATTCATTGGCCCTTTATTGTTAAATATAAATAATTATTGCAGAACGAGAGGTAGAGTTTTGTCACGTCTATGTCATTTTTTATATATAAATCTCTTATAGATAGACTATAGAAATATGACAGTAAGTTAAACGTAATTGTGGAAATACAACAACATACACATTTTACTATTTGAAAATTAAGTCGTAGAACCATCATTGTTACATGTTTAAACAGCTAAATGTATTTATGTACCATAAGCTAAACTGAGTTAAGACTTAATATTATGTCGTAAATTGTGCTCCATACAATAATTGACTGCAACCCAGACACGCGCTTGGCCTGACCCATATTTGTATTAATAGATTGCCATTCAAACAAAACTACGGCGTAGTATTAAAATATTTAGGTCAAGATAGGATGCGTAGTAACGTCAAGGGCGGACAGAACATAGTGCAATATTTGCGTTTACAGCCAAATTGATCCACAGCAATATGTCTTACTCAGCAGCTTCCGTGTATATAAAATAATGGCCGTTATCTAGGCGTCATGTCAGTCCCACAGGTCTTATTCCCTTGATTCTTGACAATTTTAAATAAGGGCTATTGGAGTGCAGAGAGAGGAGCGAATGGGGTTTCGAGGGCCCTTCCCCCAGAATTTCTGATAAATTACATCCCCATAGATAAGAGTTTGAACATTCTCCTGTCGATTTAGATACAAACTGGAACTGATTATTTCGTTGACCAGAACTGGCTAAAGACAAAGGAAATTCGGATTAGCGTTCACCTCCTCTCACAAACTGGACTTTGAAGATGGGCTTACGCCATGCAATATGACGGGCCATTTTGCCTGGACAGCTTCTTCGAGATACCGGAGTTGTGATCTAGAAAGTTCCTAGGGATATTCCGGTCAGACTTCCACTTATAATCATTGGTGCAGGACGGGGGCCCTGGCAAATGCCTAGTCGTTTGGGTGGGACGAAAAACTGAGGCCCCGTATCCACGTAAAATGAAAACTTAACAGTTGGAATTGGCCTAACCTAACCCTTTACCTAGCCCCAATGCTTACACTAACCTACAATCTCGTCAACAATCACGTGCCCTAACCTAATTTACATCTCAGCGACCTTGACAAAAATTGAGCTAGCCTTAACAAATAGGTTTAGCCATTTAATTGCCCGGTCACGGGGGTTTTACTCAATTCATGAATAATATCGTGCAGATTGTTTAAACGTTATAAAACCCTTGATTCTATGAACTAACCTTTATTCATTTTTCTGAAACAGATAATAATGTTATAGATATTGATTTATCGATTTGGGTTTTACCGTCACTTTAGTACTGCGTAGCTAAGATACCGAGTTTGTACCAGCAAGCCGGTGTCAATGTACGATCCAATCAGAAAACTGCGTCTGTCCGATGGCCTAATTTTTTCTCTCGACGATATATAAGAGGTCGATTCACGGGCACGTTTACTACAGTCTAATCTAGCTAGCTAGTATAACAATATATTGCTTCAGTTAATATTCGACAAAGATGGAGTCTTTAAAAAAAACTGGTAAGTTATTTATTTTCTTTTTTAACAGAAAAGCAAAAATATCTGGATGAAAATATCAACATAACAAACATTAGAGTGTTGCACACCTCTGTTATTTGCATGATTGTTGGGTTTCTTAATCTTATGAATGCTAGCCTGGAGGTCGGGTGTTCGATCCCTGCATTGGCCGAGGAAGTTCATCCAGATTTTCTGGCGTGGTTTCCCCTTGTCAGTGATGCAGGACGGAGGGCCTGACAAGGACAGCTGTCTAGTCGTTCGGATGGGACGAAAAACCGAGGTCCCGTGTACACATTGGCGTGCACGTAAAAGATCCCTTGGCAGTTGGAATTCGATATAAGAGTAGGCCGTAGTGCCGCTGCCCGGGCAAAATTTCTCTCATAGTGCACTGTATGGCGTATGCCCGTCTTCATTAGCCCAGTTTAGGAGCAGAACAGTAGGACGTTAAACCCCATTTCATTTCATTTCATTTTCCCACTGATGGGTTTGGCCAATGGCCTACTAGTACGTAAATCCGGCCCAGCATTTATGCACATTGATTAGATTAACAATTTCCTAACGAATTTTAACAATTACAGTTTATTCATGAGAATTCTGTTATTGTCAATTGAATTTTGAGGCACTGATTGTTGAAATTATATCTGAGTTCCAATTAAATTTTCAATAATTAATATTTCCATTGACTCGCAGTAACGTCCGAAATGGATTGCAAACTCCGATGCGAACACGGTATTTTGTTCCAAGGTTATCATTTCCAAGTCCTGGGCTATTCCCATTCAAATCATGTGAAAACAGTCATGCATTGGTAAGTTGTTTTGATTGATAGTATTTTTATTGCACAATCTTTAAAGATGCATTATGTATAAGAGCTAAATTGGCCAATTGCAGGTCGTTATTTTGGTTTCAAATGTTATATATAATGACAAGCCTGTTACCACCTCTCTAGACTATCAAATGGCAGAGATTTAAACAGATTAAAAGACGGTCGATATTTAATGATTTAATTTAAAAATGGTGATAATAAACAATCTACATGTATGCCGAACCTTCCACCTCAAAATAAATTAATTTGAAAGAAATTATAGCAAGAATGGCAATTCTTTTATCTAAATATTACATAATTACGGTGGCTGATTTATGACACGCAAAAAAAAATAATATCTTGCGCGCTCGAGGTACTAAGTCAAGCGCTTGAGATACTAAAACGAGCGCTTGAGATACTAAAACGAGCGCTTGAGATACTAAGTCGAGCACTCGAGATGCTATGTTGAGCGCTCGAGATAATACAATCGAACATGTCTCAACTGCTGTTTTAATTATCTCGAGTGCTTGACTTAGTATCTCGAGCGTTCAAGATATTGGGTTTTTTTGCATGTCCTAAATCAGCCTGCATACAAACCTAATAAAAACCTAAATGAACATTTGACTTTTCTGCACTGATTGGGCTAATGTAGATGGGTATACATCTTGCAGTGTGTGACCAGGGGAATTTTGCCTGATCAGCAGCCCTGCAACTTTAAAGACAAATGGTCTATTTTTAATATTGGATCATTATTATTTATAAATTGTGCACTGTGCCTACTGGAATTGTCAAATGTGGTATTTGTGGAATGATTGACCATTCCAGCTCTAGTGGGTACTGTTTTCTTCCAATAGACTTGAATTTAGACATGAGAAGTTTATTTACAATAATTTTTATACGCCCGTCGGTCCGGCGTCCACAATTGCTTGTAGACGCTCTAGAGGCCAAACTTAATATCCGATTGACTTTAAATTTATACACAGTGTTTAAGGTCATGAGACGAAGAAGCCTTTTGATTTTCAGCGATTTCCGATATGGCCCTTGATCACTTCAAAAAATCTTGTGGACGCTCTAGAGGCCAAAGTTAATATCCGATTGACTTTAAACTTATACACAGTGTTTAAGGTCATGAGACGAAGAAGCCTATTGATTTTCAGCGATTTCTGATAATTACTACCAGAGTTATGGCCCTTGATCACTTCAAAAAATCTTGTGGACGCTCTAGAGGCCAAAGTTAATATCCGATTGACTTGAAACTTATACACAGTGTTTAAGGTCATGAGACGAAGAAGCCTATTGATTTTCAGCGATTTCCAATAATAATTACTGCCAGAGTTATGGCCCTTGATCACTTCAAAAAATATTGTGGATGCTCTAGAGGCCAAAGTTAATATCTGATTGACTTTAAATTTATACACAGTGTTTAAGGTCATGAGACGAAGAAGCCTATTGATTTTCAGCGATTTCCGATAATTACTGCCAGAGTTATGGCCCTTGATCACTTAAAAAAATCTTGTGGACGCTATAGAGGCCAAACTTAATATCCGATTGACTTTAAATTTATACACAGTGTTTAAGGTCATGAGACGAAGAAGCCTATTGATTTTCAGCGATTTCCGATAATTACTGCCAGAGTTATTGCCCTTGATCACTTCAAAAAATCTTGTGGACTCTCTAGAGGCCAAAGTTATTATATCCTATTGACTTCAGATTGATACACAGAGTTTAAGATCTTGAGACGAAGAAGCCTATTGATTATCAGCGATTTCCGATAATTACTGCCAGAGTTATGGCCCTTGATCACTTCAAAAAATCTTGTGAACGCTCTAGAGGCCAAACTTAATATCCGATTGACTTTATATTTATACACAGTGTTTAAGGTCATGAGACGAAGAAGTCTATTGATTTCCAGCGATTTCCGATAATTACTGCCAGAGTTATGGCCCTTGATCACTTCAAAAAATCTTGTGGACTCTCTAGAGGCCAAAGTTATTATATCCTATTGACTTCAGATTGATACACAGAGTTTAAGATCTTGAGACGAACAAGTATATTGATTTTCAATGAATTTTTATGACTTGGAACAGCTAAATACATGATACAGTATTAAAAGTTTTGTATACAAAACGTTAGCATGGGGCAGAACTTTATAAAAACCAAACAAATTCTAATGGTTTTCTGAGTTGTTGCTCTTAATCAGATTTTAGTGTATTATGAATGTTTCATTACCGAAAAAAGTAAAAATATGCGACAACTCTTGTTGACTGCCCGGACGATTTAGCTGCTGTGGGCGTATGTTTCGTTGCCTGGCAACCTATCTTTGATAATTATGGGATAGTTATTGCCCTTGATCACTTGCATGTATAAAAATCTTGTGGATTCTTTAAATGCTAAATTTATCATTCCTTTGCTATGGTTATCATACAATTGATTTGAAATTTATACACAGTATTCTGATCATGACATGAAAAAGCCTATTAATTTTCTTTAAAATTTGTCAAGCAGCTCAAGTTGTCATCTGATGACAAATTCTGTTATGTTTGTCTTTGACTAGAATTGATCGCACAGATTTCTCTAAATGTGTCATAAATTAAGTGTTTTAAACTCTTGACTAATTATTTTCCTTCTCTTTTACAGCGAACCAGGCTGGTGAGAAGGTGGAAGAACTAGTAGAAACTGTCAAAGATAAAACTGGTTTGGGGAAATCAGATTCTGAAGTTGCAAAAGACAAAGCTTCAGAAACCGTTGAATCGGCAAAAGATGCAGCTTCTGCTGCAGGTCAAGTAGTCAAAAACAAAACTGAAGATGCCAAGGACAAACTGTAGAACCACAATCAGACAATATGTGTACAAAGAAGCATCATGTTTTTGTGACAATTGTTTATAGAAGGGGGGGGTGTGTGTGGACAAATATCTTCACTTTACAAACTGTCTTTATGGTAACAGAAAGATCACCTAATAATTTGTAAAATTATAAAATCTGAAAATAATTTCCACAAGCAGGTCTGTACATCTATCAGGACTGATTTATTAATTTAAATGGTCTTACACAGAGTACGGGCAACTTCATTTAATTTGAATGTATATTTTGAATCTAACACTAACAGTCTAATTGATAAGAAATGATGCTCTAAAATACCAAACATGCTGACTTTGCAAGATCTACAACTGTATTTGTTCACATACTCTGTCATATAACTGTAGACATAGTGTTGAGTGTTTTTACTTTTGTGCATAAAAAGTTAAAGAAGTTTTTTTTTTCAATTCTACCTCTGTTCTTATACTAAAAATATTGCAAAAGTCACTGAAGAGGATCGACTTGCAGAAACGATTTCAATGACATTAAAATCCAAATAGAATTGTTTCACATTTAACACAAAATGAAGAAAATAAGTATTTCTTCTTGTTGCATTGATATACAAATCTATATTCGATGTAATTATCATTAGATACTTTTCAAGGATCAATGCAAAATCAGATGTTTTTCCTAAACTCGAAAATAATTTCTTTAACAATCTCTGTAATTTTGATTTGTAATTTAGATGGTATTGCTAGATAGTCTAAATATTTACTCGATTTGCAGAAGTATTTCTTCATGATGCATTGATACATGAATCTACATTAGATCGTATTATCATTATAAATTGTTTAGATGTTGTTATAGATCATTATTTTGATTTGTGATTCATACACCTAGATATTATTTATTATGGGTCTAAATATTTACCTCATTCTATCAGTACCGGTATGTACACTATGCTCAAAATGTTTGAAACTTTAGAATTATTTGTTTTATTAGTATCTTGGATGTATGAGATAGCTGTTGTATTATAAGAACTATGTATAAGTTAACTGCATATATTATAAGAACTATATACATGTATGAGTTAACTTTAGTATTATATGAATTGTGGATGAGTTCACTAAGGTATTATAAATAAATATATAGTATTAAAATGTCTTGTGACTATTTTTTTATAAAGTTTTATCTGGAACAACTGGTCTGTTCTCCTCATTCTTATAAATGTGACCATGGGTTTTCGAATGGTTTAATTTTTATTTTAGTCGGCCAGACCAACTCTTCTCCATATTAAGTTTCCCTGAACCACTGGACTACAAAGAAACTGTAAGCATGGTGACACAATTTAAAGAAGTATTAATTATTTCTGGAGTTTTGATTCTTGTTCACTTTGTATAATCTAGTGTATGCTCTAGCGACAAAAGTTATTGTCTGATCTGCTTGAAATTTATTAATGTAAAATAAAATTCTAGAGTTATTGCCCGTGATCACCTTGTGCAACATTGAACAAATTCTAATGATTTCTGATGATTGGTTAAAGTGCTGTTACCCTATCAATTTTTAGTATCTTGTAAATGCTTCTATTACCGACAATAGAAAAATATGTGAAAACCTTTTATGGACTGCATGGACAACCAGGATGCTGTGGACGAATATTTCCTTGCCTGGCAACTATTTTATTGACTTAAAGATTCAATGCCACAACCATTAAGGGTTGCTTATGTTTCATTGTCTGGCATCCTATCTTTATCCTATGGTGAACTCCCCCTTATTGTTATGAAATGAAAGTGGGTTTAATATCCTACTTTTCTGCACGGAACAGGCTAATGAAGAATAGCATAAACACAATGCAGAGTGCCATCATGAGGAAAATTTGCCCGTAAACCGGTGCTACGACCTTCCTACTGTTCTTTGGGAGGTTGGATGGCTGAATGGTTAGCACGTGCGTGCTGTATCATAAAGTCTGCCATTAAGTCAACTGGCGTTGTTTCGATTCCCCGGTTGTACGTGACAAGGAGTAGGGTCGCCTGTCCAACCTCGTGGGTTTTCTCTGGGTCCTCCGGTTTCCTCCCACTGCTAAAGACCCCTATTTCGCGAATTGTTGAAATAAAATTAAACCATACGTTTGTCCTTAAATGACCTAGTTTGTGTCGAGTGGACGTTAACACCCTCTCTCTCTCTCTCTCTCTCTCTCTCTCTGTGTCTTACTGTTATTTCAAATTCCAAAACGTTACTTTTTTTTTATTTTCCTTGCTTTTGAGAATTGATGATGCTGTGGGGACGGGAGCGAGGAAACCCATGAGTGTCAGCCATTATCACATATGTGATATAACTGGTTAAACAGTTCCAAATATAATTGTCCCCCGCCTTTCGAAGAAAGCAGGGGACTATTAAAATGGGTTCGTCCGTCTGTCTGTCCGTCTGTCTGTCCGTCCGTCCGTCCGTCTGTCTGTCCGTCACACTTTTTGGGACACAATAACTCTCTTCCTAATTGAGCTAGAATGTTCAAACTTGGTGTATGTGTTTATTAGGTCAATGCCTTGATGGAGTTCGAAGATGAGCATTTTCCGCTTAGGGTAAGCAGAGATAAGCAATTTGATTGGTTGATGCTTTGGGACACGATAACTCTCTTCCTAATTGGGCTAGAATGTTCAAACTTGGTGTATGTGTTGATTAGGTCAATGCCTTGATGGAGTTCGAAGATGAGCATTTTCCGCTTAGGGTAAGCAGAGATAAGCAATTTGATTGGTTGATGCTTTGGGACACGATAACTTTTAATTGAGCTAGAATGTTCAAACTTGGTGTATGTGTTTATTAGGTCAATGCCTTGATGGAGTTCGAAGATGAGCATTTTCCGCTTAGGGTAAGCAGAGATAAGCAATTTGATTGGTTGATACTTTGGGGCACGATAACTCTCTTCCTAATTGAGCTAGAATGTTCAAACTTGGTGTATGTGTTGATTAGGTCAATGCCTTGATGGAGTTCGAAGATGAGCATTTTCCGCTTAGGGTAAGCAGAGATAAGCAATTTGATTGGTTGATGCTTTGGGACACGATAACTTTAGTTCTAATTAAGTGAGATTGATGAAACTTGGTGTATAGATTTATTATATGAATACCTTAACTAAGTTCGATAATGAACATTTTTTGCTGAGGGTAAGCAGAGTGATAAGCAATTTGATTGGTAGAAACTTTGGAACACAATAACTCTCCTTCTAATTGAGGTAGAATGTTCAAACTTGGCATAGGTGTCTATTAGGTGAATGTTTAAACTTGATGTATATGTAGATGTTCATTAGGTGAATGTCTTGACTGAGTTCAATAATTAACATTTCGAGCTGAAGCTAAGCAGAGCTAATCGATTTCATTTGTCGATGGTTTGGGACAAGATAATCTTGATTCTATCTGATAGAGAGTGATGAAACTAAGTGAAAAAAATAAATGTGCGATTAATTAATATGTGTCATCTATTTATTTTGCAATTTCGGCGGGGGACATCAGCCTCACTGTTGGCTTGTCTTTTTATAACATGTAATACATTTGAAGCCAAAAGAAAGACCTGCAATAGGCAGATTTCTGTCCAACATAATCCTTCTTTAGTTTAAAGATACTTTCCCAGAAAAGTATTTATCGGGTGTTTACATGTATTTCCAAACAGGCCTGGAAATAACGGTTTTAGATGTACCTGACAAAATGTTAGGCACAAACGAAATAGTATCTGACATTTTTGTCCCCCGCCTTTCGAAGAAAGCAGGGGACTATTAAAATGGGTTCGTCCGTCTGTCTGTCCGTCTGTCTGTCTGTCTGTCCGTCCGTCCGTCTGTCCGTCTGTCTGTCCGTCTGTCTGTCCGTCACACTTTTTGGGACACAATAACTCTCTTCCTAATTGAGCTAGAATGTTCAAACTTGGTGTATGTGTTTATTAGGTCAATGCCTTGATGGAGTTCGAAGATGAGCATTTTCCGCTTAGGGTAAGCAGAGATAAGCAATTTGATTGGTTGATGCTTTGGGACACGATAACTCTCTTCCTAATTGGGCTAGAATGTTCAAACTTGGTGTATGTGTTGATTAGGTCAATGCCTTGATGGAGTTCGAAGATGAGCATTTTCCGCTTAGGGTAAGCAGAGATAAGCAATTTGATTGGTTGATGCTTTGGGACACGATAACTTTTAATTGAGCTAGAATGTTCAAACTTGGTGTATGTGTTTATTAGGTCAATGCCTTGATGGAGTTCGAAGATGAGCATTTTCCGCTTAGGGTAAGCAGAGATAAGCAATTTGATTGGTTGATACTTTGGGGCACGATAACTCTCTTCCTAATTGAGCTAGAATGTTCAAACTTGGTGTATGTGTTGATTAGGTCAATGCCTTGATGGAGTTCGAAGATGAGCATTTTCCGCTTAGGGCAAGCAGAGATAAGCAATTTGATTGGTTGATGCTTTGGGACACGATAACTTTAGTTCTAATTAAGTGAGATTGATGAAACTTGGTGTATAGATTTATTATATGAATACCTTAACTAAGTTCGATAATGAACATTTTTTGCTGAGGGTAAGCAGAGTGATAAGCAATTTGATTGGTAGAAACTTTGGAACACAATAACTCTCCTTCTAATTGAGGTAGAATGTTCAAACTTGGCATAGGTGTCTATTAGGTGAATGTTTAAACTTGATGTATATGTAGATGTTCATTAGGTGAATGTCTTGACTGAGTTCAATAATTAACATTTCGAGCTGAAGCTAAGCAGAGCTAATCGATTTCATTTGTCGATGGTTTGGGACAAGATAATCTTGATTCTATCTGATAGAGAGTGATGAAACTTAGTGAAAAAAATAAATGTGCGATTAATTAATATGTGTCATCTATTTATTTTGCAATTTCGGCGGGGGACATCAGCCTCACTGTTGGCTTGTTTTAACACAATGATCATTCGATTGATGCGTTATGAAAATTTCAAGAAAGGGACGCGACGAACGCAAAAGAAAAACACGAACGCGTTATCCTTTTACGTGTATATAACTGACTGAAGTGACGAGTGATAACAAATACACATGTGAATTTCTGCTCACGTTTTTGGCCTGTGAACACTGTAGAGGTCACAATTTTTATCCGATTTGGTTTAAACTTGAAATGTATGTTTATAACCCACAGATCTCGGTTCCTGTCAATAGTCGCGCATATTGGACCATAACTTTCTGAATTATGGCCCCTGATTGTACGAAAAATCACGTTTTTAGCTTGTGGACCCTATAGAGGTCACAATTTTTATCCGATTTAAATAAACGTTTTAGTATATCACCGATACATCCTAAGGGTGGCTGAGTTTGAATTTCGTAAAAATCGGACCGAAACTGAAACGGACAAAATGATCGCCCCCTCGTTCGCAAACAGTGTCAAAATATTGTGTAACCCTCTGGATTTTCGTCTGATTTTGATGAAACTTGAAATGCATGTTTATAACCCAAATATCTTGGTTCCTTTCCATTTTCGTACATATCGAATTGTAACTTCCTGAATTATGGCCGCTGATTGTATGAAAAATTGCGTTTTAGCTTGTGGTCCCTCTAGAGGTCACAATTATTATCAGATTTAAAAAAAAACCGTTTAAATATATCACCGCTACACCATGATTTTGTCTGAATTTGAATTTCATTAAAATTGGACCAAAACTGCCGGAAAAAATGGCCGCCCCTCGTAAACACCTGGTATATAAAGGTTGCGGACCCTCTAGAGGCCAGAATTTTGATCCGATTTTGATGAAACTTGAAATACATGTTTATAACCCAAAGATCTTGGTTGCTTTCAATATTTGGGCATATTGAATCGTAACTTCCTGAATTATGGCCTCTGATTGTACGAAAAATCACGTTTCTACGAAAAATCACGTTTGTACGAAAAATCACGTTTTTAGCTTTTGGTCCCTCTAGAGGTCACAATTATTATCCGATTTAAAAAAGAAAAAACGTTCGAATATATCAACGTTACACCATAATGTAAATAGAGTTCGAATTTCGTGAAAATCGGGCCAAAACTGCCGGACAAAATGGCCGCCCCTCGTACGCAAATAGTGTAAACATCTGGTAAATCAAGGTTGTGGACCCTCTCGAGGTCACAATTTTGATCCGATTTCGATGAAACTCGAAACTCGAAATACATGTTTA